TACTGGCCTGAAAACAGCCAGACTTTTCCTCTGCCGAAAATAGGATGAGAAGAAAAACAGCAAACCCAAAAACCAAGAAGGAAAAATTGAGTAAGGGTGAAAAAAGAAAGAAAAATAGAAAAGTTCTACAGGATGATCTTCCTAATACTTTCTTCTTGGGGCCAACAGTAGAAAGTTCTCTTGGCCTCCTTAAGCCACACTACTGCTATTATGTCACACCCTCCTTCAGCAAAGAAATGGTGGAAGAAGAAGAAGAAAAAATAAAAATAAAAGACTAGATAAAGGCAATTAAACATACTGTTGAATCAAATAAAGGAGAGGGAGGGAGGAATAAAGAAAGAAGAAAGACATCAAACCAAGAAGAAAGGGAAAAAAGGGAAGAAAAAGAGAGGAGGGAATATCTTAGCTGATGCAGAAGCACTTTATGTGGGAGAGATGAGAAGAGTAGAAGAGTCTCTGTCAACTAAGAGAATGCCAAGGAGTGAAGTAGGGAGAGAGAATAAATTGAGCTAAAATTCTGCCAAAACAAACAAACAACAACAACAACAAAAAACAAACAAAAACAGGATCCCTCACTCTTACTGAATGTAAAATGGAAGTTAGGGAAAGAACCAGCCAAACAACTTAGCAAAAAATAAAACACATTGAAACAAGATAAAGAGAAAAAAAAAACTTAAATAGCCTTATTTAAGCAATCTCAGCAACCAATAGAGGAAGGAAAGAAGAGAAAACAAAAGAAAAACAACCAAAAAAAAAATATATATATATATATAAACAGACACATATATATTATGTAGAGATCCAAATTTCACAGGAATATATTTATGTTGCAGTATACTTCTTGGACACCAGTTGGCTCAGTGAATTTGTGGGACAAATGACATACCTGTTAACCCCTCTTCCCCAGGCTTAGAGCTGTTCCCCAACTTAGTTGTTCCTGGTGATCACCTGTTCACCCTGTCAGCACTCAGGCCCCACTGATCTGGGATTCCACAGCTCTCAACACTTGTTCAGGGGCAGGTCTCACAGATTTCCCCTACAACAGTTCCCATGGCTGCGGAAGTCCCTGGGCCTGTCACAAGTGTAGGTCCACTCCCCACAGGTGGAACTCAAACCACCATACCTTAGGCTCCCAGCAAGAGTCACTCCCTCAGCAATCTTCATGACAGTGGCAGCCCCCTGTCCAGGGTCTTTTACCCATATGGATGTTTCACCCGCTGCCAAACCATGACAGAACTGCTCCAGACAGCCCCCCAATCTGGCCACCAAATTCTGCTGAGGAGTGCATACTTCAGTCTTTCCACTCAAAGGCTAGCTTCCCCCCAAGAACTAAAAATTGCAAAAGGCTGCTTCTGGGACCTCTGTAGGGGAGCTGGCTGCCACTGCAGTCTTTGCCTTGGCCAGGGCATGCTTGCAGAAATTTGCTTGGTGTGCTGGGTCTCTGCAGCTGTGGCAAGTTCAATAGTCTGCCACCTCACGGCACACCCTGAATTACCACTCCACTCTGGGAATAGTCTATCCCTCTCTCCCCTGTTGCTCCAGGAGAGCTCTGCTAAACATCTTTCCTATCTGCCATTATGGTCTATATAGCTGTTCTTTATAAAATAATTTATTAGGGTGCTACTCATAAATTAGAGTTTTTTTGTTTGTTTTTTAAGAAAGGGAAAACAGTGATAGCATTTACTGAACTGGAATCACTATCAAAATCCAAAAAACTGATCATATTCATTTAACCACAAGCCAGTCTTAGTTAAATCAGGACTGTCCAGCAAAAATTTTCTATCACTTGGCTTGGTGCCTGTGGCTCAGGCAGCTAAGGCGCCAGCCACATACACCTGAGCTGGTGAGTTCGAATCCAGCCTGGGTCTGCCAAAC